TTGCAGACCATCTGAGCAGGTCAAAGAGTCAGATGCATGAATGGTCCTTGAAGGACATAATAACATATCTCTTCAGTTCATGGGGGAATCCAGTACAGTAATAGATCTTTCTGCATCCAGCAACAACAAAAAGTGTCAATTTTTGGTTGAGATCAGGCAGTGACAGGGAATCAATATCAGATGCCTTTCTAATTCATTGGGGTCAGGGCCTGATATATGCATTTCCTCTGATTTTGTTCATTCAAAAAGTCATAAAATAAGACAGGACAAGGCCAAGGTAATTTTAATAGTGCCAGTGTGACTAATGCAGCTGTGGTATTTGGATTTAGTTCACCTGTCAAGAGATCTAATGGAATCTCTATTTCTGGCCCTGGACTTGTCACAGCAGCATGGCATGATTTATCATCCAGATCTTCAGTCTCTCCACCTAACAACATGGGAGATAGGACTCTGGGAAGTTAAAGAAACTCTGCTCATTGGAGATGCAGAATGTATTGCTACATTCTAGAAAGGAAGTCACAAGACAATGTGACAGTCACAAAAGAAAAAGGTTTTGATTGTGGATTTCTGTAGTTCCATGTACAGTACCAATTAGTTATATTTTATGATAGCTGTTGTACTAAAAAAAGGCAGATCTCTTGCTGTCTTCAGTAAAGATTCATCTCTCAGCCATATCTGCATATCATGTACCCGTGGAGGGAAAATCAGTTTTTACTAATAGCATAGTTAAAAGGTTTTTTGAAGGCCTTAATAACTTATACCCTTCAATAAAACACCCTATCCCATCTTGGGATCTGAATACAGTACTCTTGCAGTTGATGAGATCTCCCTTTGAGCTTTTGGGTAGCTGCGATTTATTTGTCTATTAAGACTGTGTTTTTGATAGCCATTACATCTGCAAGATGTGCAAGTGAAGTATGTGCATTGATGGTTGACCCAGCATTCACAATTTTTCATAAAGACATGGTAGTTTTTTGTATGCATCATACATTTTTGCCTATAATGGTTTCAGTTGTTCATGTAAATCAGTCTATACTTTTGCTGGTTTTCTTTCCTAAACCTCATATTCATGATGGAGAGACTATACTACATACTCTAGTTGTTAGAAGGGCTTTAGCCTTTTATCTAGACAGGACCAAATAATTTAGACAATCTCATAAATTGTTCATTGCTTATGACAGAAAAACTAAAGGGAAAAGCTGTTTCTATACAAATGCTCTCTAGATGGGTTAGATTGTGTATTAAAGTCACTTTTGAATCAAAAAGGTGTCCTTTTTCAAGGAATTAGGACACATTCTGCTAGGGCAGTGTCTATGGCTTTTTCTAGGCATATTCCTTTAATAGAAATATGTAGAGTCGTAACCTGGACTTCTATCTATGTGTTTACTAAACACTATTCCTTAAACGTAGAATCTAGACCTGATGCAAAATTTGGTAAAGCAGTTCTGCAATCCTTATTTAATTAGGTCTTTGTGTCCCATCATCCTGCTCGGGATACTGCTTATCAATCTATCCCATGAGTGGGAATATGCAGAGGACACTGGGGGTACGTCTTCACTTACATCCGGGTCCGGATGTAAGCAATCGGTTTTCTGAGTTCGATTTATCGCGTCTGGTTAAGACGCGATAAATCGATCCCGGATCGATCCCGGATCGATCCCGGAAGTGCTCGCCGTCGACGCTGGTACTCTAGCTCGTCGAGCGGAGTACGCAGCATCGACGGTGGAGCCTTCCTGCCGCGTCTGGACCGCGGTAACTTCGGACTAAGGTACTTCGAATTCAGCTACGTTATTAACGTAGCTGAATTTGCGTACCTTAGTCCGAAGTGGGGGGGTTAGTGTAGACCAGGCCTCAAAGAAAAAATGAAGGTTACTCGCTTGTAACAGAGCTTCTTCGAGATGTACCCTGTATATTCACACTCCCCGCCTGCCTCACCTCAGAGTGCTATTTATCAAAAAGTTTGGAGTTACAGGAGAAAGAACTAAGGCAGCTGGAGCTCCATGCCCTTTTTATACCCTTGCCTTGGAACATTCATTGTTCTGTGAGGGGAGTGTGAATATGCAGAGTCTGTTGCCCTGGAATTTGACATTCCTGCGTGTACCCCAGAACTTGACTATACTGCAGTGAGCCATTTTGTATGCTCAGCCATTGCTAGTTGAAAACCAAACATCACATAGCTAGGAGTAATCTTAGGCCTTTGTAAAACAAGGTCAAATAGCTTTGCAGTTTATTAATCAAAATTAAAAATAAAAAAAAAGTTATTTTAAAAAAGGTAAATAGCAACCTTTGTTTTAAGTGTCCCTAACATATTTTTATGTCTAAAAATTCTAAAAATGTTTTAAAATAATACATTTTTAAAATTAAAAAAATTAGTAACCCAGTAAAGGTTATTATGTTAACCCACTAGGAGTTATGTTAGGTTATGTGTTTTGTTAAAGTAAGCTATAAAAAATTAGGTAAGAGTAAATACCTCAAAGCAGTCCAAGGGAACCTTTCTTTGGGAAAAGAGCTGACATTTAAACTCCCTATCAGCTGGATGAAAAAAGGGTCCCTGGAAGTCCTGCTGGTAATTACTCAAAATCGTCTCAAACTGTGGATAACTATATCTAAAATGTCCTAAACCTATTGCTTTTGTTTGTTTGTGCTTAATATTTAATAAATTGTAGTTTTAAATAAGAGCACGCTTACTTGTATTAATCATTATCAGACCGAAATTGCTGTGTTCCCAATAATTTATTCCTAACACCGCCTAAAGTAAAACAGTTAAGTTACCACTGTTTTGGGTTCTGAAAACCCCAAATAACAGATTTGGTGAGCCAGTTGCCAGGAGTGATAGAAAGGAAGGGAATGATTAATACAAGTTGTTTGTTTGTTTTGTTTTGCAGTAGGTAAGGGAGGCAGTGGAACAGGGTCACAACCTATGAGTTGATTTATGGTCACATTCTGTTGTTGATTTAGGGCTCAGGCTGAAAAGCCTGGTTGAGTAAAAGGATGTCAGAAGGACAGGGAACATCTGACAAGAAACAAAAGCTGGAAATGGATTTGGATAACAGCTTGTCAGATTTCATGCAGGAGCATGATAATGTTTTTTTTGGAAGCCTAGGAGCTCTACCAGTCCTGGAGCGTTCTTGCGGTTCTGTAAGCAGATGGTAGTGATAAAGCAATTAAAGGCAGAAATAAAGAAGTTAAAAAAAATAAAATTTAGAAAGACACAGAAATATCCAGCCTGAGGGCAGCTCAGATAGTGGCACCGCAGAAGCAGGACTGCGACAGTGAGCGAGAGGGTAACAGGCTGGAGCAGAAAGTGTCTGGATTAAAACAACAAAAAATTGAGTGTGAATCTGCTGTTAGAGTCTTACTAAAGGATTCTCAGGATAAGACCCAGACAGATCATGGGGAATGTAAGAGACAAAGTTGTGCTCTCAGAGCCATGTTGAGAGAACAGAAAGGAATAGTGGTTGTGCTTCGTGGGAGTCATCCCCTAAGAAGGAGGGGTGAGTCAGAGGTGAATCTCTACTTGTATCCTCATTATGAGGATGAGAGGGATGGTACCTGTGAGCTTCCTTTTCCCTTGGACTCTTCTGGGCAGTCCGCGTATGGTCGCTTGCTTGAAAAACTGGAAGAGCTGTAGGCACCCATAGCCCCCACGGTAAGAAAGATTGATCCCCAAGAGGGTAACCAAGGAGGAGAAGAATGGGTAGAGGTTAGGCCCTTCACCCCAACCTGACTAGAGTGGCAGGAAAATTGGTTGGTCCGTTAACCCAGAGCACAGCCTTGGGATGGCTGGCAAGTAATCCACTGAACTCGTTGTGTATGTGTGTGTGCAGGTCTTAATATTAAAAATATACAATCTGCAAGGAGGGGAGAGTTGCCCCGGAATTTGACATTTCTGTGTGTACCCCAGCACTTGACAGTACTGCAGTCAGCCATTTTGTATGTGCAGCCATTGCTAGATAAAAAACAAACATCACATAGAAATAATCTTAAACCTTTGTAAAACAAGGTCAAATACCTGCATATTTGCAGTTTATTAATTAAAATAAAAAATATAAAAAATTAAATAACCTTAATTTTAAATATCCCTAACATATGATAACTAAAAATACTGAAAATATTTTAAAATAATTTATTAAAATTTAAAAAATTAATAACCCAATAAAATTATATTTACCCACTAAAATCACTATAAATTATATATTTTATTAAAATTAACTATAAAAATTAAATAAAAATAAATATTTCAAAGCAGTCCACAAAAACTTTTCTTAAAAAAACAAACCTAACATCTAAACACCCCATTAGCTAAACAAACCAAAGCCCCTAAAAATCCCGCTAGCAATTACTCAAAACCATCTCAAACTCTAAGTAACTATATCTAAAATATTTTAAACCTATACATGCTTAATATCTAATAAATTATAGTTTTAAATAAAAGCACGCTTACTTGTATTAATTATTTATCAAACAAAAATTGCTGAGTTCCCATTAATTTTTTCCTAACACCACCTAAAATAAAACAGTTCAATTACCACTGTTTTGGGTTTTAAAAACCCTGGGTAAAAAGTCCATCTCAAAGAACCTTGGTTACAGGGGAGTAACCGTCATTTCCCCCTAACTTGTTCTTGGAAATAAATGAACTGTTTTTTGTTGAGATTTTCCAAAATACTTCATATAGAGGCAGACACATAGCATGGGAAATTTCAGATGGATAATTAAAGATTAGCAGTTTGTGAGCAGCTGAAAACAGGATCTTTCCATACAAAGTACTAGTTAGGCTTAATGATAGGCATTGTTGCCAGCTCTTTCTATCATATAGTTCACCATATTCTCTGAAGACTCCCAGTACTTACAATCATCCAGTTTATTGTTGATTAGCAACAGTATTAATATATCTAATCCATAGCATGAAATTACATGAATGCTTAATTCATTCAAAAAGATAGACCTATGCTGATTGGGTTATCATTATGAGCAATATCTTTTTATCTTCCCAATTACAGAAACTTACAGAAGAGAATGTAAAGGCACAGTCTAAGAAAAGACAGAAAGGAAAAGTGTTTGAGACTCTCAAAGGCCAAAAGGTGATTGCAAGATCTGACGTCACAGGATTTTATTTTCCAGGTAAATTGTTTTTGTGTGTACTTCAAATGTTTTTTTTTAAATCTTTAGAAAGATTGCTGAAAAAAGAGCAACATTTATCTAATCTCTTTCACCTGGTTCAGTTTTAATTTGATTTACTGTATATATTGTTGGATTTTTAATCTTTTCTCATCGTAATGCTTCTAGAAAGGTACAGAAAGCTCTGCAGTCACCCTACTGATAGGTCTATTTTTTTAAAGAAGAAAGTGGTGGGAAATGTTTTGGAATAAAATGGTGTACATTTTGAAATGGAAGACAGTGTCAATCTATTCCTTTTTCTTTCTAGGCTGGCTTATTTCCATTTAGGATTTAGCAAAGGCTGAGCCATCTGCTATATGCAGAATATTCACTAGATGTTTCTGTTGTGTTGTTGAGTTCTAAGTCAGAATATTTGTAGTATGAATTGGTATCCCATGATATGGTATTGGGGGAAAAAATCTAACTAATCCCATACCTTTTTTGTATGATTGACAAAGTATTCTAGGACAGTTTCTGACATCAGAGAACATCTCACAGGTAATTTGACATCATTGGAAGTCTGTTCTCAGGAGAGGTGCAAGAATTGAAAAGCTGGGGTGTTGAGGATCGAAGTGCATTGGCAAAACCTTGTGGGGAAGCTTGCTCTGTGCCTCTTTACACTACATCTGGCTCGTCAGCCAGTGCTGTTAGTTCCTCACATTCATGAACACTGAATCAGTTACAATTAAAACAAATTAAGGATATTCTAACAAGTTAAGGATATTTATTGTTAGTACTGTTTCATGTACAGATAAAATATGGAGATAAGTTCATTGCTTTTGTTAGCTTGGCTTATTTTTTCTGTACTTTTTTGATTGCCTGATAACAGTTTTCAATTTAACAATCACAGGCTGAATTCTTTAATTTTACAGTTGGATCAGAAAACCATTTTGCTATTTATCTAGCTTTGTAGCTGTTAGTGTTGAGAATGGTCTGATGCTGCTGTGTATTCTTTTTCTGGTCACATAGTTGAAAGTTTCTCTATCCTATACCCAAATGCTAATTCAGTAAAACATCAAATGAGTGAAAGGTAAGTGGTTTAAAAGGGAGAATTTTTTCCTATCCTAACATGAATAAGACTGTACAGTATAAATTTACTGAGATATTCATTTACTATTTTTTCTCAGAATGCTATAATTCAAAACATAAGATAGATATTGCAGTTGGTACAGTAATAATGGTACAGTAATAACAGTGTACTGAATCTCTTTAGAATTTGGTATGCTACTTTTCACACATTGGACCAGATTTTCAGGGACGAGTACAATGGATGTGTTTGCAAAAGTGTCCTTAGAAAATCCTGCCATTGCTTGAACCACATAGCTATTGTGCACACAATTTGGGTAATTGCCTGCCTAGCTGCTCATTGCACACTCTTTTGAATATTTGACCTTTTCATTAAATGAAATAACAAAATGCATGAGGATCTCTTGCATCATGTGCCAGACCCCAAATGACAGACACTATACACAGTGAGAATACTGCTGCATCATTTTACCCACATGCAGATAACTTATAATATTTTTAGGATCTCAAAATGGGTATTATAATCACCATTTTATAAATGAGCCTTTCTGTGTTTATTTCCTAAGTGATCTGTCAGGGTCACATGGGAAGTCAGCACCTTTATGAGTAGAACTTAGTTCAAACTTCCAGTCATCTGTTCTAATCACTAGGCAATGCTGCTTCCCTAAAAATAATTATATTTACCTTTTCAGTAAAATTAATAATAATTTTAGTATCTCTGAACAAGCCCCACAAAAAAGGCAAACTTTATTTCTAATGGGAATGAACTATTTGCACATTCATCAAGGCTCCAATTCAGCAAGGTATTTAAGCATGTACCTAACTTTAAGCATGTGAGTAGTCCCATTGAAATCATCGGTGATGATGTTAGTTTTATAGTTAAGTACTTTGCTGCATCAGGGTCCAAAGTAAAAGCTTCTATTAATCTTAGAATCTTTCTTTTCTTAGTAGTTATTCTGTACTTGCATTGTTTTAAAATAGTAATAATGTTGTTGTTGTCGTGTTTTTTTTAATGCATCTTCTAAGCTGTTCCCTTCTATGGGTCACCCAGTGTATGTCGTCTTCTCTATTTCTGCCTCTGACCCCTGTCCTCCAAACACAAGTCTGTGGGGAGCTTTCTTCTGATGATGAGTTTCATGAGATTGGGGGCTTGTTTGAAGTCCAGAAGAGGGGTTTTGTGAAAGATTTCTTTAAGGATGTGGTCCCCATTGAGTATGGGTTGTAACTGTTTCATGATATCCTGTATGGATTCCAGTGTGGGGTGGTAAGTGTCAACGAGAGGTTTTTTTTTTTTTCTGTATTGAAGCTGGTGGAGTGTCTTTCTTTGGTGAAGGTGATTTTAAGTGTGTATCCCAGACATTTTCCTCAGCGCATATTCTGTGATATTTGAGGGCCTGACTGTAGATAACAGATCTTTTGGTGTGTTTGGGGTGGTTACTGGATCTGTGAAGGTAGGTGTGGCGATCCATGGGTTTCTTGTATATAGTAGTCTGTAGGGTTCTATTGTTGAAGCTGATCATGGTATCCATGCAGTTGATGCTGGTACGGTTGTGTTCTAGAGAGAGTTTGATGGATGCGTGGTGGTTGTTGAAGTTGTGATGGAAATCTATAAGGAAGTTTAGGTCGTTTGTCCAGAAGATGAAAATATCATAAATGTGTATCAGGTATATCATTGGTTTCATGGTGCATTTGTCCAGAAATTCTTCCTCAAGGTGTCCCGTGAAGATGTTGGAATATTGGGGAGCCATCCTAATACCCATGGCTGTTCCCATGGTTTGGACAAAGTGTTTGTTGTTGAATGTAAAATTGCTACGGGTGAGGAGGATGAAATAGATGAGCGTAGCAATGTATTTGGGATGGATATCTGAGTGTTGTCCATTATCTTGTAAATATTTGAGGCAGGCATCAATGCCATCGTTCTGAAGGATGTTGGTGTATAGGGAGGTGACATCTATGGTGGCAAGCGTGGTGTTCTGAGGGAGGTGGTTAATGTTTTAAAGTTTCTGGAGGAAGTTGTTGTGTCCTGGAGGAAGCTGGCACTTTGTGCGTGAGTCATTGAAGATGGTTTCTATGAGTCCTGATATTCCTTCAATAAGAGTGCCTATGGCCTGATATGATGGGTCTGCCTGGGTTCACTTGTTTGTATGTTTTGGGAAGCATGTAGAAGGTCCTGGAGTGGTGGGAAGAGGGGTTGTGGGGGATGAGGTTGTAGAGTTTCTTTTGGGGTTATTTGGGCAAGGATTTGATGATATCCTTAATTCCTAGGCGAATTGTGGTGCGGGGTCTTCTTTGAGTTCTTTATAGTAAGTGGTGTTGGAGAGTTATCAGTTGGTTTTGTTGATGTAGTCATCACAGTTGAAAACTACAGTGACAGCACTCTTTGTCTGCTGGCTTGATCCCTATCTGGTGGTTGGATTTCAGGGACTGTATAGCTGTCATCTTGGTGGTTGAGCGATTGTAGTGGATTTCACAGTCAGTTTTTTTCCCAAAAGCAATCAATGTAATGATTAAGTGTGTTGTTTTGTCCATTGTGGAGTGTCTAGTCTGATGATTCTTTTTTCTTATGACTGTTGGTGGGGAGGTGGTGGTTGTGGGTGGTGGTGTCCTTATTGTAAAAGAATTCTTTGAGGAGGAGTCAGTGAAAGAATTCTTCAAGTTCTCCGTGTGTTAGTATTGTATCAGGTTCTATGGTGGGGCAGAAGTTCAGTTCCTTGGAGAGTACAGATAATTCAGCTCCGGTAAGAGGTACTCTGGATATATTGATGATGTTGGGGTGTCATTTAGTGTCCATGTGGTGGGTCTTGGTGTCATGGTTTATCCTGGAGTTGAAGTTCAGTGGGTTGTGGAGTTGTTGTAGCTGGTTCCACTCTTTCTTTTTGTGTTGAATGGCTGTCAGCAGGTTTTGATAGTTGCTTTGGGTTTCTTACATGATCTCCAGGTGGGTTTCCTGTTTTCTTTTTCTTTTTTGCATAATTATTTTGCAGAACTCGGGCTTTATATTATAAATTCTTTGGGGGCAGTGACTTTCTTTTTGTGTGTGACTTGTACAGTACAATGTACATTGTCAGTGCCAGTGCAAATATTGTAGATTCTACTACAGGAAATATGGGGACATGTTACAGGCTACAGGATTTTTAGCCTTCTTATATATTGGTAAACATACTATATGTAATTTTAATATTATATTTTTCATGTTTTTCTCTTAGGAACTGTGATAAAGAGTATCAGTTCCTCCCAGGCACTTGTTGACTTCAGCCATGGAGAGACACAGATTGTACCAATAAAGTTCATTATACCTGTCGGGGGTGCTATGCCTTGCCCATCACTGCAGGTGAAAAACTATTACTTTTTAAGGCAGCATATGTGCATCATTAACTTTATTCTGCAGTTCACATATGAGCACGATGATACGTAATAGTTTGATCATTTCTGTATTTTGGATAAATTTGTAAATGTTAAAGAAGATTCTCCATTCAGAGAAATTTCCTTTGGTTCCATGCTATTTCCAGTATTTCTTCTGTTTGTCACTTGTTATTACATGATATGTGATAAAAGTTTAGAATCTTTGCTCTTTAAAATCACACATAGTATTTTTGGGCAGGTCACTCAGCACAAGTGGTCTTACTGTTTCCCAACAATACACATAATTAATTTACACTCACAGCATAGGAACCTAACAAACCCTTTTACTCACACTATAACTTACAGCAGGCTCTAGCCATTTATTTTTCATTGTATGTGCTTAATCCAACAAAAAAAACCTTTTACTAACCCCAAAGAACAATAATGAAAAAAAAAATCATATTCCATTTCTGTATTTAAGTTAGCTAGCTAATCATCTATTATCACAATTCTTCTTTCAAATGGGGCTTATTTTAGCAGAGACAGGGATGATGGGTACAAAAAGCAATGGTCTACCCTGCCTTGGTTACAATTAAAACCAGGGACTTGATTCTTTCCCTATATAATGTAAGGAACTCCTGCTGATATTAATAGTATGTCTCTGTATTCTGTGTGGAGAGTCCAATTCTGGAAGTGTCTGTCAGGTTTAATAGAAAGTTATAATCTTTCTATAGTGTTTTAAAAATCATCTTATATAATTCAATTAAAAATATATTCCTATTATAGAATTCCATGTGGTGTTTAAAAACATAAACAAAAATATAATTCTCTATTAAATTCTAAGGGATAAAGGGTTGGAATAATTTCTTTAGTAGCCTGTTAGCTTGATCCCTCTGAAATTTTGTAGGACGTTTCCATAGGATGCTGATTTAAGGCATGATCCTGTGAGGTGCTGATCCAGTGGGAGTTGAGAGTAGTCAGCACATGGCATGATTGGTACCTTTGTATTTTCCTCTAGTGTTCCATTTTAAGCCATTAGACTGGATTAGCATGTTGTTTTGTACAGTCAAACCGTCGTTTAAAACTGGTATGCTATGAAGCTCTTGCAACCTAATGCTTTTCTGGTACACAGGTTGGAGACTATGTATTCGCCAGAACTGGGACACAAACAGGAAATGATTATTATATGCCTGCTGTTGTTATAGCAACACCAAAAAGAGTTGAAGCAGATGATAAACTCTACACAGTTTTGAAGTACAACAATAAGAAAGTAAGTAGACCTGTGAAAGGATACGAAGTTTGCCATGGCATTATTATAATTCTGTTTTTGATGAGGCAGAAATAACTGGCCTGGCTAAAGAGCACATCGTTCCATTCACCCTTCCAGCTGACCAAAATCAAATCAAATTTCAGAGCCAAGTAATGGGCCAACATAATGGACAAACTGATAAGGAGTGTAGACAAACATTACTCTACTCTCCGTAATCTATTTATTGGCTTTCACAGGCTCCAGACTGCAAATGTGAAGAATAAGGATTGTTTTTCATGGGATAAAATAAAACTATTTTTAGTGTGTTTTGTTACCTTTGTTCGTTGGAGATTATTATGGTAATTTTATCTTTTTTTTCTCATTGTGTATTATAAAGAAATTGTACTTATCATTAGGAAATTGTCATCTTGGTTTTTCAGATGTTTCTTACGGTTGCACCAAAATGCCTGGGTTTTTTTATACATTCCTTTATTCTTAACTGCTGTTTCTGAGGTTTAGAAGTCACTGATCTAAACTGAATGAATTTGATTGTGTTATTGCAGAAACACTGTATACGAAGTGGGCTTATTAAAATCAGCCAAACAAAGTATGCCTGTTCCTGCCGTTATATAAGAATGGCCCATATGGTGGATTGCCTGCTGTGAGTATGTCTGAACTGAAATATGTAAACTTTTGGTTATGTGCATTCTAAAATATAGGGGGGGGAGAGAAGCATGTTTTGTATTCACTTTTGCTTTAGTTTTTCCATATCTAATACAATAACAAGTAGCTTTTTAAACTAGAACAGGGTTCATTCAGGTCGGGTGGTCCTGGACACATCACCATGTGTGTCTGATCCACTAAGTGTTTGGATGTGAAGGTTGTTAATTGTCTACTTCACGCTTTTGTTCCCTGGCAGGGAGCTGCACTGTATCAGATTGGTGGGAGGTGCTAGTTTGGTTCTTAATAACAGGAAGTTCGAAGTGAGAAAACGCTGGAAATTGGAGATAGTGTTAGTGATGGGCTGGTTTTTATTTTATTTTAAGATGTGTTTTGTGATATGAACTTGTGCTTCAAATTATGAAATGTATTTAGAGTACTCAGTGTCTTATTGGGCTTGAGTCTGGGGAATGGCTTGGAGAGGGTGAACTTATGTAGACCTCAGCTGATGTTTGCTGATTAGAATAGGATGTGAACTTATATTGGTTTCCAGGTAAATCTGTGTTTCTGTTTGGCCTTTACATAGCCTGAGCCATGAACCCATTTGAAGTATCCCTGAGAAGTGATAGATTTCAGAGTTTATTAGCAGGCCGTGTGTTGTGTGGTAGAAATCCTTCTTCTGGGCTTTAAGGTCGAGGCAGTAGCTCCTACTGTCCCCTCTCCAAAAAAGAGGGAACATGAAAGCCTTATGGAATATAATAAACCTGATTAATGAAGCAGGAGAGATTCCTTCTTTCCTATGGCTTCAGATATGTTTGGGGGAAAGTGGTTACCCCCATCAAAATCCAGCCAGAGAAAGAGGAGAAACCAAATAAATCAAAGCTCTCCACAAGCAGCGACATGTCCCTGCTGCTCCTAGGTGGAGGTGTGGCTAGGTGGCTCTGCACGCTGCCTCCGCCCACAGGTGCCGTCCCCACAACTCCCATTGGCCGTGGTCAATGGCTATAGTAATCAAAAACACTTAACTCTTGTATATTTTTCATTCATAGATCTCAAAGCACTTTACAGAACAGATTAATATAATTATCCCCATTTACAGATGGGGAAACTGGCACAGAAAGGTGAAGTGACTTGCCTAACATCACCCAGATGGCTAGTGACAGAACCAAGAATAGAATTCAGGTCTTCTGAGTCCCAGTCCAGTGCTCTAACTAGTAAGCCACACTGCCTCCCTTAAGGCTGGTTGTTTGTCATGGATAAAAAGATCATGGATTCCACTCAAGAATCCTATGGAATTCTGTTTTGTCTTTCCCCGTAAACATCATTAATTCCATCCCTCTCCCCTTCACATCCACTAAGGGCAGGTCTTCACTACAGGGGGGGGTCGATTTAAGATACGCAAATTCAGCTACGCGAATAGCGTAGCTGAATTCGACGTATCGGAGCCGACTTACCCCGCTGTGAGGACGGCGGCAAAATCGACCTCCGTGGCTCCCAGTCGACGGCGCTTACTCCCACCTCCGCTGGTGGAGTAAGAGCGTCGATTCGGGGATCGATTGTCGCGTCCCGACGAGACGCGATAATTCGATCCCCGAGAGATCGATTTCTACCCGCCGATTCAGGTGGGTATTGTAGACCTAGCCTCAGTCATTCACTCTGAGTTGGCTGGTTGAGTTGGCTGGCTCAGTCATTAAGCCAGCCAGCCACAAGCACTCCTAAGCACCTCCATATTTTTGCTACTCACCACTCCTGTTTGCTTTGCTGTATTGAATTTTGCTTTTTAGATTAGGATGGGAAAAGAAAAGAAAATTATGTGCTGGCAATAATATTTGTTGTAGTCTTTGCTCTTCTTTCATGCTACTCATCTATCCATCCTGCCTAAATAATCTATATTTTTCTATACGTATCTCTAATTCTGCTGCATTTTTAGTCTGTTGTATGAACGGGTTGGAGCCTGGCTAGATCTGTCTCTTGTGGTTGTGTTTTTTCCTCCTGCTTCTTGGTAATATATCTAGCTCTAAATGCAGTGCTTTTCATCAGTAGATCTCAAAGTGATTTACAAAAGAGAGCAGTATCATAATCCCCATTTTACAGATGGGGAAACTGAGGTGTATAGCAGTTGAGGAGACTTGTCCAGGTCACCCAGCAGATGAATAACAGAACGGGGCATTGAACCCAGATTTTCTGAGTCCTAGTCCAGTGTTCTATCCACTAGACAACACTGCTTCTTTGATAGCTGGGGCTTTACATCCCTATAGAATTGTTTTCTCTATGATGGGAGAAGGTGGCCTCAGATGAACACAATTACTAGCGCAGAATTTTCCCCTTTTGCGAGTAAGCTCTCAGCTATAGTATTTTATTGCTTTCCATTCAGATATTTGTAAATGGAATAATGTTCTCATGGAAGTGTAACAGTTTCTCCCATATTATTTAACACTTTACTTTTATGTCATGTAGATATGCATCCTGTTCTCTTCCAGGCACTGACTAACTTAATTCACTGATTGAATCGTAAAGATTCAACGCTGTCCATGACATTACTTTATATTCATCGCTTTTTGTAGTCTAGCACACAGTGTCTAATGAGTGTTTTCCTCTTTTATGAAAAACTGTGCATTAAAAATCATTAGACAGTTGTATTTCATTAGCTGCACGTTAATCAGTACTAATGCTGGCTGTGCCATTTGCATTGCTTGAATAAAGATTGTGTCAACATTTCTATTATAGTCCCTGTTTTCAGGGAGTTTAGACAATCATGTGGTTCCTACCTGAAACTTGTTATGTGAGGCATTCTAAAAAGTTCCGCACGGTGATGCTTAACTTCAGGCTCATTCTTCCAACTCTGGCGACTTCACAAGGCTACTGTCAGCACAATGAGTCTTTTTCTTATCAACACAGTGGGAGGTGGGGAAAGATGACATACAAAGTGTTAAAATAATAAAATAAAGATGAATGTTTTGAAATAGCATGATATACCACATTTACACACACAGATGTATATCAGTGAATCTTCTCTTCTGATTTCTAGCCCAAATGTACAGGCTGAGAAATCCATCCAGAACTCATCTCCACAAGAAGAAGAAGAAAAGGGGGAAAAATTGAAAGAAGATGGGGGAAAAAAGAAGAAAAAAGGGAAATTAGAAAGCAAAAAGCATCCCCGGGAGAAGACTTCAGACTCTGATGATCTTTTATTTATCTCCAAGAGGGAAGTGAAAAACAAAGAAATAAATTCACTGCCTAGTGACAAAGAGGCAACTGAAGGTAAAGAAGTGGGGAACAAATTATTTGATTCAAGTTATAAAATCATAAAGATTAGAGATGGAACTGACCTGTTGGGTCATTTAGTCCATTCCCCTGCCACTACAGAAAGGTCCCTGCAGTATATTTTCTGGAGGTTTGTTCAATCTAGTTTCAAATGTTGCAAATGATGAAGTTTCCACCATTTTCATTGGGAGACTATTCCACAGACTAGCTAATCTCAGCATCAGGATGAGATTGCTTTCTTGATTTTTATCTATTTATACTAGTTACGTCCCTTGGTATCAGCCTTAAGCAAATTTCTCTACATCCTGGGTATTTACTTAGACGCTCCCGATATTTATTATGTTTACTCCTCAGTCATCATTAAGTCAAGCTATTTGTGTGTTGCTCTTCTGATCTTTCCTCATAAATCAGTACTCCTCTTTTGTTGCTCTTGTGTCAATTCCATCCAGTTTGTCTACATCTGTCTCGTACTGAAGTAGCATGATACTGCAGTACTGCCCAGGTTTCTCACCATCCTTGTAGCATCACAGCTTCCTCAGGAGCCACGTCATGACTGGCTCCCTGCCGGTAGATGTCTCTGAACTCCCCAGTATTCCAGTGTGCAGAGGGTGAATGAACATGAGAACCCATTAGCTTCTTCTGTTACTAATTCCCTGCAGGTTGAAGGAAGGATGAATCTGAGGAGAGTGGCTATCACCTTGGCCCATCCCGGCCATGCCTTACCCAGATCTGCAGAGCCTTGGCCATCTGAGTCCCACAAAGGAGATTCTTCTAGGTGGCATGAGGTGGAACATGCTGCAGAGTCCCCTTTTTATGGCACCATTGGCTTTACCATTTTTTTTTGCATACCCCTTTGTGTCTCAGAGTGGATGGAAGTGTAGGACAACCTCTGATATTCATACAGTTAATAAAGATGTTATATAAAACCGGTCCTTACACTGATCCCTACAGGATTTCTTTGAATGCATTCCCACAACTTGACACATTGTTGAGTATTGTTACTCTTTGTTTGCAGGTGTTCAGTCAGTTTTCAGTGTATATGATAGTGCTTATCATAGCCAAGAAAATTTGAATTATTTTTGCAAATAAAAATTTGTGAGCCAGTGTCAATATGTTACTAAATGCCAGACATACTGCATGTAGTTTATTCCATACATCCACTATTTATTTTAATGCTATTTAAATAAATAAATAAACAAATATGAAAAAATCCAAGTTTGCCTGGTATAATTTTTTTCTCATGGGCCAGATCCTCATCTGGTGTAATCTGGCAGTTTACAGTAGTTGACAGTCTGGTGCTATATGTGCTGCTTATTGAGATCCCATCTTTGCAACCCTCACTCATACTGATGAGCACTTAGAGAAATGCTCCTGTTTAAACCAGTGGGATTACTTGCATGAGTAAGTACTCAGCAACATGAGTGAGGATTGCAGAGCTGTGTCCTATGAATGCGTTGTTCCATTAATCTCTAGAGACTAGATTTTAAAGGCCTAAACTCCTGTTGATTTCCTAGGCACCTAGTGGGATTTTTAAAAGTGCTTATCTGCATCTTTAGGTGCCCTATATACCTTTGAAAATTTGGTCCTAGATATTTACATTTTTTCCTAACCCTTTCATTCTGGAATTGTTTGCTACCTCATGAAGAATGGATCACGTGTGCCTGTTATGTGTTAGGGGGTTAATATTTGTTCATTATTTTACTAAAGATTGAAGTTAAATTTACCTAATACTAGTTCCAAGGATTACTCTGCTTTCTTTTTTTAAAGTTCAGTACCACGTTTGCTTTATTAGTTAGGCACCCAATCTGCTTAGGTACTTTTGAACATCCCACTAGGTGCCTATCTATATCTTTAGACACCTAAATGCCTTTTAAAATCTGGTCCTTAGCACCTTAAGATGATGACCTTTATACACCCAAAAGCCTTTGATTTATATGTTCAAACTTTCCAAGTGTGCTCTTCAGTGCTGTTTGCCATTATTTTTCAAAGTCTTCAGTACTTCTTAATTGTTCTTGTTAAAGGCAGATTTAAAAAGGAGTTCAACATCTCAGCAATTCAAAAGAAATTTTTTGAATAGTTGTAAATTCCATTAATAGTTAAAAACAAACTAATAACTTATAATAGCCTGAATACATCCTACAGTAATGAGGTTACACTTATTGCTTGATTGCTTGATTTCTGAAGGCAGTCTATTGAATTGGGCATTGGTTTATTTAAAAGGTTTATAATCCTCCCACATAGTTTCTAATACCTGAGTAATTTGAATGTCTTTTCATTTGTATAAAAACAAATTACTCGATACTCCTGATTGTTTGCCTGTAGTATGAGAACTTCTTGTTCATAATTGTGCAGCATATTTTCTCTAGCCCTTTCACACTTGTGTAATATGGGAGAAATATTTGGCACCATGAAAAAGTGCCTTCTTTTAAAAACCATGCTAGCCTCATCATCATTGGCGATCCCTCGATTCGAGGAGGATCTCTACCATGAATTTACATCTGGGTCCTGAGATGACTCAGGAGTCCGATCCTGAAACCACAGATCCGCCCGCAGTAGGCGTAGACGTTTCCTGGTGCGTCAGCTGCCTGCTGGGAGTTATTTCTTTTTCCTTCCTTCTCTTTCTCTTTTCAGCTTCAAGGGCAAGGCGCTTCTCCTCAAAGCAGGCCACTGCCTGATGCCTCCTGTGGCGCCATTGGGGTCGGTTAGTGCTTGCGCCTCCCAACGTGAGATGTCCACATCAGTTTTCTTGAGATACGCTTTCAGTGTGTCTTTGTAGCTAGCCTACCCAGTCCTCAAATGTCTGGCTTTAGTTGATCACCCATAGAGCCAGAATGTGCAACCCTCGCTTGTGTTGGTGAACACTTGCTCACATAAGAAGTCCCATAGATTTCATACATACATTTCAACATTTCATAGATTTCAGCAGGATTACTAGAGGGAGTAGGAGCTCCCTAGCATGAGTAAGGGTTGCACAATATAGTTCTTAATTTCTTTAGCTAGCAAGGTAAATTTATTCAACTGGAAAAATCTACTTGATGAAGCCTAATATATTTACTGCTTTTGGGTACTGTATGAATGTACTAAAGCAAACTTGTTAGAGGATTTTAAAATTTCTACAAGCCAGCATACTTTCAGCTAAAATATTCTTGACTGTTACCTGATTGCATGTAATCAGTGGCCCAGGCCTGTTCTTACTCATGAAAAACATCCATTGACTTGAATGAATATGGACTCCATGACTGGGCCTTGTGATGGGGCATCTGGCCCACACTGGCCCAGAAGGGGTTAATAGAACCCTAGGGAGGCTGTACAGCAGGCAGTCAATTAGAGAGAGCCCTAGAGAGGCTGCGCAGGAGACAGCCAATTAGAGAGGGGCTGTGAGGAGCAGCCAATCAGGGCCTGGTAGACCCATATAAGAAGAGCTGCAGGGCAGAGCAAAGTCAGTAGCTGCCTGGAGCTCAAGGTGGGAAGGTCAGGCTCCTAGCAGGAGGAAGGAGTGCCAGCACCCTGGACGGAGCAGAGTTGCTAGCAACCACTGGGGGATGGGGAAGCAAAAGACGGCTCCTTGTTGGCTGCAGGGATTTGCAGGCTGGGGTCCTGAGGCAAGGGAAAAGAGGGTGCTGAGGGCCATGGGGAAATGACCCAGGGAAATGAACTGAAGAGTTGGAGGGGATGCAGTAAGTGGCAGCCATCTACAGGATGCCTGGGCTGGGACCCAGACTAGTGGGTGGGCCTGGGTCTCCACCTGCCCCCCGGCCGCCACTGAGGAAGTGGCCAAACAATTGGCTGCAGTTGCCTTTGAGGGAATTGGTTGGACAGTGGACTGCAGTTCCCCCAGAAGGGGAGATAACAGAGTGTGACATGGCCGAAGGGCTGTGTCCTGCAGAAGTTGTTGTGGTCCTTCGAATGACACCGTTCCAGGAGCAGAAGTGATGGTGGGTGAGATAGCACCAGAAGAGGGCGCACTGGCTAGCAGAGCTAATCCCTGGGACAGCCAGCAGGAGGCACTGCAGTGGTGAGTGAACCCCATCACTAGGGACCTACCAAATTCACTGTCCAATTTGGTTAATTTCACGGTTATAGGATTTTAAAATTGTAAATTTCATGATTTCAGCTATTTAAATCTGAAATTTCACAGTGTTGTAATTTTAGGGGTCCTGACCCAAAAAGGAGTTTTGGGGGGGTGTTGCAAAGTTATTGTGTGTGTGGCGGGGGGGGGGTGGTACTGCTACCCTTACTTCTGTGCTGCTGCTGGTGGTGGCGCTGCCTTCAGAGCTGGACAGCCGGAGAGCAGTGGCTGCTGGCCGGGATCCCAGCTCTGAAGGCAAAGCCACCGCCAGCAGCAGTGCAGATGTAAGGATTGCCACCCTTACTTCTGCGCTGCTGCCTGCAGAGCTGGGCCCTCAGTCAGCAACCGTCACTATCCAGCCACCAGCTCTGAAGGCAGCAGTGCAGAAGTAAGTATGGCATGGTATAGTATTGCCACCCTTACTTCTGCGCTGCTGCTGGCGGGGCGCTGCCTTCAGAGCTGGCCTCCTGGCCAACAGCCAATGCTGTCTGGCCACCTAGCTCTGAAGTCAGCACAGAAGTAAAGGTGGCAATACTACGCCACCCTAAAATAATCTTGTGACCCCCCCCCTTTTGGGTCAGGACCCCCTATTTGAGAAAAGCTGGTCTCCCCCTGTGAAATCTGTAGAGTATAGGCTAAAAGCACACAAAAGACCAGATTTCACGGCGGGAGACCAGATGTCACGGTCCGTGACGTGTTTTTCATGGCCATTAATTTGATAGGGCCCTACCCATCACAGTCCTGTATAAGTTAGAGTATAATATTATGCACCACTGTTATTGCAACCTCTGTCTTGAACTCCACTATGCCTCTTGTTCCTATTTATACCAAAACTGTATTCACTACATTCTTATTTTAATATATGCTCCTCTCATTCCTCTTCCTTAGTTTCTCTTGATATATTTATAGAGTATGGGTGGGATCCTGGCATTCAAGTCAATGGTAAAACACCCATCAACCTTCAATGGCACCATGATTTCACTCAATATGACCAATAAAACCCAAGTTTTATTAAACTATTTAATAAATAAAATAATATAAATAATAAAACAAGATTCACAAATATATAATCATACCCTTATTATTACTGTGATTACTTCTATAAACACTTTTAAAATAACATGCAGCTATTTGCTTGCATTTATTTCCACAGAAAAATGCTTCTCTCTGTCTGCCCACTACCTTTTCTCTCTCCTCCCCACCCCCAAAAATGCCTAGAATTTTTGTCAATTTCATGTGGTATTCATGTGAATTAACTCAAATGGTGCCCTGGTAAGTCACTTGCAGGAAAGGAGAAAACAGAAAATAAGAGAGAAACTTTCTAGAGAAGTATAGATATGAAATGATACATTTGAATGCAAATATATGATGCAATAAGTGATGTGTTAGTGAATTATAGACAAAAATGCTCCTTTTTATTTTGTAATGGGGTGGGATTTAACGTAATGTAACAAAGCTATTTGAAGTAGTTGGGAGACCTTTGAAAAGGCTAATTGTTTATCCCCTTCCACAACAAATCCAGCTGCTTAAAGCATGTTAGAAACTGTTCAAGAGGGAAGCTGTGACAACTGGCAAGCTAGTGGACTTGTTTCCCCCCTATTAGCTATTTATATTTCCAGGGACACGCTTGTTTCCCTTTCTCATTTCCCATAGCTCATTTAGCATTTGGATAA